ATTATACGTTCAATTTTTGATCTATTTGTACCATTGTATTATTTATGATTAAAATCACAATTAGAATTTAAGACACATGTTGACTATATTTTAACTTGTAAAATTATATTCATTTAAGTTTTGTTGAGACCCTTTACATGTTATTCAAACATATATGAACAATTATTAAAGAAAGTGACATTATGTACTATTTCATCATATATCACTTCACCGGCATGCATAACTAAAACAGATTTCTGAACTTTAAAAAGTTCTAAAAATTCTGAATTATGAGAAAAACAAAATATAGGTTATACCATAATTTGATGCATCACAAAATATGCATAACTAAATAATATTTACTTAAAAAAATATTTGAGTCATATCCTAGCTGTTTGTCCACCTATATATCATTCCAACCTTAAGATAGAAATGACCTATTCTGCACCGAATTCTACTTGATAAGGCAATATAAATTATATGGAACTAAAGATAAAGCTATTTTTTTTCTGTATAACATGATAATATAACGGTAATGTTCAGCTTCAGAACAAGCAAGCAAAAGCTGCATGTGTATTGCCCTATGTATCTATATAGTATATATGAAAAATCCATTAAACTTCCTAAAAACTCTCACACCGTCAGGTGAGACTCCTACCAATGCTCCTAAGTTGCCACGTGTCACTCTAATAAATTAGATAAAACCTTACAAATTTTGCGAAAAAACAAAAAAAACCCAACCCTCGATTTTCATTTAATTCAGCGGATCCACTATTTTTAAACAATTAGATTAGATTCATTTAAAATACATCTCATATAATTATATATATATATATATATATATATATAGAGAGAGAGAGAGACGCACACACACGTACTTCTGTACTATACTACTCACGGCAAAAAAAGGAAAAAAATAATTACCAATGAAAAGAAAGAAGGGTTAACGCTGCCACGATCCCACCTAATTGCTACGAGAGAAATGTATATACGTACGGTTCACCCAAAAAAATTGAAAAAAATTTCTCACATGTACAATACGTACTACTATCCATCGAATTGAGAAAAAAAAACCCCAGACATGTACATACTACGCACCATCCACCCGTCCCTAATAAACTTATCAATAATGTTGGATATTTTCTTGAGAAACATAGTACAAATGCAGCCGCTCACAACGCACGCACACTCACCCTTACGAACGCGCACGCACACACTCTACCCCTATGAGTACCTCTGAGAGATTGGACCGACATATTTTGACATTGACAAAGTCACCATGAGTGCCTCGCTGCCGATGGGTACGTCGTCTACCACTGAATGAATTTGTCAAGTCTGGGACTTGAACACGAGTGGGCAATTTCCATCACAAGAAACCTAACCAGTTGAGCTATGTTCAATTCAAAATAATGTTGGATATTAAACAACCTAATTTTTAAGCTACATTTTTGGAATACTCCTATGCCTTTTAAACCAGTGAAATCATTATTTTTAATCATTAGATCTATCTTATATAAGGAAAACAAGCGTGCATTCATGGTACATCACATTTCAAAAATATTATTGTTCAATTATATTCACGTTAGGTTGCGTAGAACCTCTTGCCCACTCTACATGAAATGTTTATAGATGGATTATCTCTCAAACTACATAAATCGTATTAGGCTATATAAAATTTAGTGGAGCTTCATGTCCCACCAAATTCATCCTCTAATAAACCATGATAATATATATGCAATAAAAAAAGAAAAACACACTACTTTTGCTTTGCACTTACTTTTACTTTCGTTGAAATATTTTCTAAAGAAAATAAGTCTACCTTCTTTTCAAATGATGAATAAGATTATAAATAACTGCATATAGATATTACTTAAATATGATATAATATAAAGCTAATATGTTAAAAATTATAAAAGCAACTAATGCTAACAAAAATCATTTACGAAGAAATCGGGGTAGACGTTCTCCGGTTAATATATTAGTTTTAGTGTCTCAAACTTAGCGTACGACGTATACCCGCGTATTTTGCACGGGCTACCTAGTTGCTGGAAAAAGGCCTCTCGATGTTACCCACCTAATGAAGGATCGCCCCATGTAATCTGATATGATCTGCCTAAGGTCCGTGCATACAGCACAATCAATTTCCCCTTATTTCTGCACACAAACATGCAGGTTATTAATTTGTTGGGTGGAGTATTACTTATTCCTTTATTAAGAGAACTCCAACACGTATTTCTCCTTTTGTAATTGATGCAATTGTCAGACCGTTTTGTACTTATATAAAGAGTATGTACGCTCTCTCTGTCCATAGAATAACTGACGATGCACGCAGGCACACATGGGATGAATCGATCCCTCCAAAGAGTGGCGGAATCAGGATTCTTAGGCCTCAACTAATGTAATTTACATAGCTTTTCCTTTAATTTTCTACCCCCTTCATTTTAGGTCATAAAACACTTTAATTTTTGTCAAAGTCAAACTACTCTAAGTTTTTGACTAACTTTATAGAAAAAGTAGTAATATTTTTAACCCAAGACAAATATATTATGAAAATTTATTCAATTATAGATTTAATGAAAAAGTAGTAATATTTTTAACCCAATAAAAATATATTATAAAAATTTATTCAATTATAGATTTAATGAAATTATGCTGGTGTTGTAAATATTACTACTTTTTCTAGATCTTGACTAAAGTTAAAACATCTATAATTTATTCAATTATAAATTTATTCAATTATAGATGGAGTATTTTACGAAGTTTTAAAGTACAATTCTAATGAATATTTAGACTCAGGAGTAGGGCTACAGCCCTAATTGCCCTACTCCTGTCTCCGCCCCTCCCTCGAAAGGAACTTTATTAATAAGTTACTATAGACCATCCATTTTACAAGAACCAATGTACAAATATCCTATCTATAAGCATCCTCATTTGTAACTAAAGTATAATCATCAATTTTTCCACATGCTTCCATCTCAGCTCCGGTGAGAACGCCATAGACGGTAGAGGGGCTTGGACTGGAGCTGCGAGAGAGATTTTCCACAATCCGCTTTTGGGGGGCGTGAGGAACATTGAAGCCTTCACAAAGCCTTCACATATTTTTTCTGCCATACATAGAGGGAGGAGGGCTTTAGATTTGTTTTAGTTTCTTCGGACCTTCCTATTATTTATTCCCGGATCTATCACTGGAGACCCTCCTATTATTTCTTCCTGGATCTATCACTGCGACATGCTGATTCTTCTCTCTTACTAAAGGTGAATACATGCGATAGGAAAAAATGCATCTGTATTTCTCTTCAATTCTCACCAAGTTTTCTCCTTTTTTACTCATACCATGTACAACGGTAGAAACGAGTATGATATCTCTTAGATGATTATTTAGAGATTATATATATAGAATAGTTGAAACGATAAAGGGCCTCACCTAGAGTTGCTTCGGTAAATGCTTTATGAGTAGAAGTAACATTTAGCATCACTACACTATTCACGTGCTTGACCTTTGAGCCACACGAACATGTTATATTCGATCCAGCCAACATCCGGGCGATCCCCACTGGAGCGGAGACAGACTACGGCCTTGACCCGGCGAAGCTGCTCGAGGTGATGCAGGCCGACGCCGACGCTGGTCTCGTGCCCACCTACGTCTGCGCCATGGTGGACTCTTCCACCTCCCGCACTACGACTCGGCCGACGGGTCGGGCTCCCGGCAGAAGGGGTCAGCCTCGAGGGAGAACGCGAGGCAGTCGGCGCAGATGGGCGTACTCCGGCTGCGTCGGCGGGAGCTGCGTCGGCGCCGGCGGCGGGCGCTCAGAAGCATTGGGGATGGGAGAGGGGAGAGAGAGTTGAGGAGAGGGAGATGGGAAGAGAGGAGGAAGAAAGGGGCTGAGAATGACTCGTGGGACCCATGTGGGACCCAACATTTTTATAATTAATTCATGTGTGTAACTGACATGTGGGTCCCACGAAGTTTACTATTTGTCCGGGTCAAATTGCCACGTAAGCGTTACGTCAATGCCATATCAGATGAAGACCAATTCAAATTAGCCACGTATGCGCCACGTCAGCCAAAACCACCGAGGGACCTCATCTGCACTGGTTTTGACATTTATGGGACTTTTGTATATGGTTTTCTGGTTGAAGTATGAAAATCGGATTCATTTACAAGTTAAGGGATCTCGGATGAACTTATTCGTTTCGGTTTTGGGGATCAGCACCCAGCCCACCAGTGCCAACAGGTGGGCTAGCGCTGCGGCCTACAGCTTCCATCCTCCGTTGCATGCTTCATCGCTGGCAGGGGCCACGAGCCCGTGAGACGTATCCGCGCGATTACGAAGCGGAGGACCCGCGCGCGCGCCGCGCGTGAGCCGTATACGCGAGCGCGGTTTTGCACGGCTTTGCTGATGACTCGTGACCAGCCGACGAGACGCATGACGCGCCCATCGATCGGCGCAGTCGTATCGAATATCGATGAATCGATCCCGCGTGCTCGCGCGTACTACACCGGAAGCGGATCGATCGATCGGGGCGATATGAGAACTAGCGTTGGTGCCTGGTGGTGTGTGCTAGTGGGCGATTCGATTGGTAGAGCTAAGCTAGCGCACCAGTTGACTCCATGTCTCCATCGGTGCGTGCGAGCTGATCGATCGAGAGGAGAGTGACACGACATGATCCATTAAAATTGATATATTTATGCCGGGCCTCTTGATTTTTCAGTTCTTGCGCGGCGGCGTGATTGTGGCCAACTTAACCTTGACTAACCGGAGAAAGTGAGCAGAACAGCAACGGCACTACCATGCCTATAGATAGATTCCTCCTCCATGTACGTCACAATTAACGATCAAGCGTGAGTATATTTACGAGAAAAGTCACTAAAACCAAAAACAAGTGAGAATTCTGTGAGCGATGAGCATAGAATAGACCAGAGCAATATTACTATGTTAGGCTAAAAAATAAAGGTGATCAAATCGAGGGGCCCAATTAATCTCAGCTCACCGAGACTTCTATAAAACCCGGCTTGGCTCCATCCAAGAGTTGTCATCACAGCATCCGCGTGATCGACCAGTCGGTCGTTTTCTCGGCTGTGGTTGCACGCATGGCGACCTTCACTGGACGTACCAGTCTCCTGGCCACGCTCGTCGTCGTCGTCTCCGCGGTGATCATGGCCTGCTCCGTCGACGTCTGCCATGGCGCCCGCGAGGGTCAGATCAGCTTTTTCATTTTGACTTCACTTGCTACTACTCCCTCCATTTTCAGGTTTCAGTATATAAGGCGTTTTAACTTTGGTCAAAACTATTTTAAGTTTAACTAAGTTTATAGACAAATATAATAATACTTATAATACTAAATTAATTTTATCAAATCAATAATTAAATATATTTTTATAATAAATTTGTCTTAGCTTAAAAATGTTACTTTTTTTTTACAAATTTGAGCTTAAAAATGTTACTATTTTTTTTTATAAATTTGATCAAACTTAAAACAGTTTGACTTTGACTAAAGTCTAAACGTTTTATAACCTGAAACGGAGGGAGGGAGTACTTTATTTTGATCAGTGTCCAGTGTATGTGTGCCTGTGTGGTCTAACGCTTGGATGCATGCGCGCGTTGATGCAGGAGCATTTTCCCGTCCTGATCCAGCGCCAGCTGATCACCGTCCCAAAGACGACGACGTCTACGTTCCCGGTGGCGGTGGTGAGGGCGGCTACGGGCCTCGGGGACCCTGCTACGATCCCCTGATCCCCGGCCACGGCGGTGGCCTAATACCCATCAGGCCTGATCTCCCCGCCCCCGGCTATGGACGCGGACGCTATCCCTGCTTCCGACCTCTCCCCTACCATCCCACGCCGCCGCTGCCGCCACCGCAGAATGGGGACACCCCGCCGCCGTGATCGAGCATGGCCGGCCGCCGCGACGACGACCTCACGCGACCCAATGCACCCTATAAGCTACCCCTCCATCCCAAAAAGAGTTCAATTGTAACTATGAATCTGAACACACATGTGTCGAGGTTCGTAGTTAGAAATTGGCTTTGTATGGGACGGAATAGTATACGCGTATACGTATGTATGTATCTATATATGTCGAGGGCACGTATGTACGTACGTACGTATATACGTTGATCTCTCGCAGGTACTAGAACGTATACTTGTTACTAGCTATATGGATCATATATACCGTTCTTCCGTCTTCCATGTGCTAGTGTTCATTAGCAGGAATAAAACGGATAGGTGGGTGCGTGAGTGTGTGTGACTGGTTTCAAACAAATAAAGTGCCGCTGTGTTAATTGTCGATATTGTGTTGGTCCAGGTTCACACGTACTCCCTCCGGTTGTTGATAGTCGACACAGTTAATGTTAGATAAACACTTGATCATTCATTTTATTTAAAAAAATTATGCAACTATAAAAAATTGTAAGTCGTGCTTATAAGTATATTTAATGATAGTTAATAAAGTCACAACAAATAAATAATTATTATATAATTTCTAAAAGATGTTAAATGTGTATAAAAACTCAACACAATCGTTCATAAAACTAAGGGAGTATACCTGATGATAGAAACACCTCAATGTTATGGTATATCCATAGAAAAGCGCATGCCAAACGATTTTGAAGATTTAAAATTCAAGGAAGTTATACATGACTAGCTGTTGCCAAAAAATTTTTGTCTAACACATGAAGGACTGAGAGATCTACTTAATTCTAATGCAGGTTCTAAAAGTCGGGTTCAGTGCGTGTCAGTTAGTTTGATTCTACAACTAATAAGGATGATAGGAATAATTGAACCAATGAACCAATTGGCTAGTACTGATATAGTGTGGTAAATACAGGTTGGATAGTTTTTCTTGATCGGCCCATCTTGATAGAATTTGGAGGTAATGATGAAAACTATGTGAAAGTCCATCCAGATAATGATAATGAAAAAAAAATCTAACTTGCAAAACTTCTTCATCTGATGCTTCACCACATGGAGCGTGTATCGGTGAGAAATTTAGGGCCCTCTATCGGTGAGGTAGTGGAACCTTATTAAACCACTCAGGAATGGCCGTCGATACATAAAAGTTTGCTCTTTGGGCTTAAGCCCAAACTATTACCTCATCACTTCAGCTATCTTCTTGCACACATATCATCTCTTGTATTGTCCATATTATACCGATGAGGAGTTGTTCCTTGCATGTTCCGATCTCTTAGTGGTTGATACTGATAAAGAATTTCACCATGTTGGTACTTGGTACCAGTGCCCTCTATCGGTTGTTTGATGATTTCCAGGAGGAATCTCATTGTGGTGCCCCCCCCCCCCTCTCAAGTTGAATGTCCTTAAGATATTTGAGGCACTCCTATCATCATTGGCATCAACATTGACATTGACATCGATCTGTATATCAAAGTTTGCCATCGTCTTTTTTGGAAGACAAACTAGTGATCTTGAGCAATTCATTCATTTACTGTTTGCTTGACTAAATCCATCAGCGTCAACACTTCAGATTGACCGATTGATGCAAGATGCATAGCTTCATGCCTTCATGAACCAAATCTTGAAAAAACTTCTGCGGATTAGCGAGCTCATCTTGGCTTGGTTTACCGATCAGAACTGGCCTTGGAAATTATGGCTTCTTAAGTGGTCCTTGTTGCATCATGCTGACCGACTCTAGACAAAGATTTTGAAAATCAGCCACGGACTGCTCCACCTATTGCCTCAGTTCCTCCTTCAAATTCTCTATTGTGACTGGGATCATGTTGTTAGCATCGGCTTTTTCTTCAACACGTTGGCTTGAATATAATGGTTCCATTGGGCGTGCCAAAATATGTTGCCACAAAATTTTGTCCAACACACGAAGGTCTGAGAGATCCGCCGAACTCTAGTGCAATTTCTAAAAATCGGTTCAGGGTGTGCCCGTTAGTTCAATCCTGCAACTAACAAGGATGATAGGAATAATCAAAACATTGAACCAATTGACCAATACTGATATAGTGGTAGATGCAGGTCTGAAGGTTTAAGCATATGTTGGCTGGAGGTCCGACGTAGGTAGATTAAAATGTACATCAGCTAATGAATCGATAATATGATAACTAAAGCTTAGAATAATGCGGCTAGAACTCCGATGAATATTGCATAAAAACCTATCGACTTAGTAGAAGTAAACTTATTAGCAACAATCTAATAGATCGGATCTAACCGAGACGGTATACAATAGGATATAATAGGAAAAACTTATTTAGCCGATAGATCTATACAAATGTGATGGATGTACCAGATCAAACCAAGTGATCAAGCAATGCAGCCTTAGCCAAAGCTGATATGTCAAGATAGGCAACGATTTTAGCAACAAATTAGAATATATCGACCCGAACCGAGAAATTAAAGTCCTAGCTACATAAATGACCGTATTTCTAAATACCTCATTATCTATAAATAGCTCAATATCTATTGTACATATTTGACCCATAGTTGGATCATCCATTTTGAGAACATAGCTGCTAAAGGAGAGAGATATATAGTTTGTAATTTACATGTTATAACTTATAGACTTAAATTTCTGTGATTACATTATATAGTCATGCCATGAATTATCACTTTTCAATCCGTCTTGTATATAGTTCCGTATTCGTTTTTGGTTTTATCATTAATTTCGATCCCATTTTCTAGGATATGGAAATGGTTAAAGGTGTTTTGCGACCATTTCTGACTCTCTTTTTTTCACACCGGTGTGCATCGGCAAGAGAACGGAGCGGACCGAACCGAACGACGTGCGTTGCGAGCGTGCGTGGTGTGCCATTGGGTCATCGGTGGAGCGAGCTAGGTAGTAGCGCACTAGTTGACCTGACCCCATATCTTCGTGCCTCCAAATTTTTCCGTTCTATGCACGGCATGGTTGTGGGCAGCCTTGACTAACTGGAGAAAGCGAGCAGCACCGGCACTACCATGCATATAGATTTCTCCATGTATATACCCAAAAGAGCAACCGCACTAAAACCCAAAAGAGAAGTGACGATTGTGTGGGTGATACAAATATATAGAAATAGACTAGACACTCCATAGCATTATTATCACTACTAAAAACGATTTTTTTCATGGTGTCACCCTTTTATTTTTATTGACGGGTTAATGAAATAAACACTTGTAAAAATGTATTGAAGGATTTTAGGTCATGAACCACCAGCAAAAAACCAATTTTCACCGACGAATGCTTAGGAGGTCTGTAAAAAAAACTCTATTTTTTGAAGCAGACTTCTTAAGTATCCGCCAACGAAAATTGATGTTTCGCTGGCATTAAAATCGCACAGCCCTATGGCCCACTATCCATGCCACCCACTAAATCCTCCGTCTCCTCAGCTCCCTCCTCCCTTCAACTTCCCCACCTCCACCGTGCCTGCGTGCCACACGATGGTGATGATGCCACGGCAGCGATGGCGATGGCAACGGGAGGCGGGTGGCGGCGGATCATGTGACGAGAAGGGACGAGGCTGGTGGCAACAGCGATGGCAAGCCACGGATCTTATGGCGGCATATTCGGTGGTGACGGTGCCTGGATGCCACAGATCCAGCAGCGGAAGGGGAGGAGGCGGTGGCGAAGATGACGACAAGCCATGGAAGCAGTGGTGGCAGTGACCTCAGGCATAGATCCGGTGGAGGTGACAGGTCCCATGGCGTGGGTGGCTTCGATGAGGCTCCGACAGTGGATCCTTGTCCATGGTGTTGGCGAGGGGAGCTCGTCCATGGCAGCGATAGACGTTGTGACGGCGACGACCACTCCTCCTTCTCATCGGCGATGGAGGAAAGAGACTAGGAGAGGGCAGCGTTGCTCGGCTCGGCTTGTTCAACGCGATTCCAGATCTTGCTGAGCTAAGTCCTCCCTTTCCCACTCCACCTATGACGACCACCGTCGGTGCAACGACAATGATGAACAGCACGGCGACGGGTGACGGCGATGCTATTTCATTTGCATCTGTTATTGTTGTTTGCAAATTGAAAATGGAGTGAAAAATCTATGTAGTGCTATTTGGATATGGATTTGAATATGGATCTGATGAGGATTTGAATTTGGATCTCTAGATGTGGATTTGAATATGCAATAGCTTCTCTTCTCTTAATATTGATTAACTTTTTATTGGAAAAATAACCTTTTTGCTGGTGGTCCTCCTAGTAGTGCTGCATGCGAAAATCGAATTTTGCAATCGGTCGTCTTAGGGGCTCGCAAGCGGACCGTAACCGCTAGCAAAAATCATCGATTTTTACTGGTTTTAGGTCGCTGGCGGTTGTGTCAGCCTCCTATGAAAACATATTTTGGCTGCCGGAAAACCTATTTTTTTAAGTAGTATATGCTCAAATAAAAGATACTATGTAAAGTTAAATGGAGGAGCCAATCTATCTGGCCTTTTCTCTCCTCCTCGATCGAGCTGTCTATAAATACCGACTTGGTTCTAAGAGTTGTCATAACATCTCGATCAGCTGCGACTGCGAGCAGCTAATTACAGAGTAAGGGAAGTTGGTACTATACCTGTCTTGGCCGTTTCCTTTGCTGGTTGTGTTTTGTGCTTGCATTCATGGCGACCTTCACCGAACGTACCCGTCTCCTCGCGGCGCTGCTTGTCGTCGTCTCCGCGGTGATCATCGGCTGCTCCGTCCACGTCTGCCACGGCGCCCAAGAGGGTCAGCTACCTAGCTTCTTCCTTCCCCTAACCCCCTCTCTCAGCTCATTTTGACTTTAATTTGCATCAGTATCATACTAACAACAGCGTACTACTGGACGTTTAATTTTCCCTGTCCTCTCGTCCGTCCAGCTGACCTGCAGGCTGCTGGCTACTACCGACGCGGCGGCAGCATGGATGATCCCGACTTCGATTTTCCCTTTCCCGGCCCCCGCCATGTTGTGTGCAACGACGGGCCTTGCCGCACCGGCCCAGGCCGATTACGTCCCTACCCCTTTCCGCGACCTTTGCCGTACCGTCAGACGCCGCCGGCGCCACCGTCGCCGCCGCTGCCGCCACCGCAGAACAAACAGATCCCGCCTCCGTGATGAATTGATGATGACTGTTCATGCCGGCCGGCCGGCCGTCATGATGCCACTTAATTATATATGCATATGGCTAATTAAGTACGTGCGTGTGATAAAAACGTACGCACACCAGAGATTACATACGCATATTGTACGTGCGGCGAACGGCCGGGCGCTAGCTCTCTTGAGCGGGGTACAACGCTAGCTACAGCACACTATTGTGTTATTACTAATTAAAAACGAATAATGCCCGTCCCGTGTGCTTGTGTTTCATTAGCTGGAATAGAACAGGTGTGAGCGTGTAACTATGCGGTCTAAAAAGGAAATAAAAGACTGGTGTTGTCAATGCTAAGAGCAGTGTACTCTTCCAATGCTGATAGTGATTATGGTAATTAATGGCCTATCACATAGTATCAAATTAGATGTGGCAAAGAGAATTACTGAGATAGGAGAAAAAGCATACCATTTCTTTGCAAATGAGGCACTACCAAGACACAAACCAACACAAAAAATAAAAATAGTACTAGGCAAGTAGGCATCAAGGTGGTGTCAAACTGTCAGTGTACAAAGTGGCTGGGTTGTTTGAATTGGTCGGTGGCAAAAGGGGCTATTTTGGTTGGCTCCCACAACTTGATTAGTATTATCGCATCTTAAGTTTGGTACATGTTTAACTGATTCAGGTGGTTGTTTGGTTCATAGCCATACTTATCACAAGATGCTTTCTCCATCATGTAAGTTCCACATGCCATTGAGGTAAAAAAGAGTAGCTCAAGCTAGCTAAACTGTTGTTCTGATATTGCTAACCACGTATTACATAAGTTAGCTGAAAACTTATGTCATGCTCTGGTAATTTAAAGTACTCAACCAAACATCCCTTAAGTTTTGCCACACCTTGCTTTGTTAAAGGTGTGGTATATATCCCACATAAAGTGTGACCCTCCAATATCGATCCGTCACCCTAATGCGATAACAGAAGGTGGGTAGGTGCAGCGCGCGTACGTGCTCGTGGCGGGGCACGCTGCCATGCGTAATGAAGTAGCTTCTCCCGCGATGGTGGTGAGTGAGCGGAAGGGGGAGATCACGAGGAGGGATCGGTTCAGGTCTCATTGTGCGACGCGAGGCTACGGCTATCGCTCAAAGTGCATAAGGGGAAAACGGACGTCACGGCTCGGTGTCTCCTCCGCCCTCTTCAAATCCCTGTCCCTCCGCCGCCGCCAATGCCAACGCCTTCCTCCACACTGCCGCCAGTCATCGCCGCACACTCCCGCGCCCTATGGTCGGCGCCGTGCAGGCAGCACAGCAGGAGCTCGCTGCCATCCCCACCAAAGGCATGAGCCGACTGCCCGAGAGTGGGGACGTCGACGAGGTGGCCAAGCTTCTATTAGCGATCAAGTTGTGGGGGCTCTTCGCAGTGACCGGCCACATCATGCGGAGCCGTTCCTGGACAAGATCCTCACCGCAACGAGGGAGTTCTTCCACCTATCGCCGAAGGAGAAGGTGATGTACAGCAACATGGTCGACGCCGACGTGGCGGCGGTGAGAGGTTCCTTCCTGAGGTCTACCGCATCGACCACATCGACACCAACAGGCAGATCCTCAACTGGTGCGACCGGCTATACCTCCAGGTCTAGCCAGAGGAGGAACGTCGGCTGGATTTCTAGCCAGAACACCTGCTAGCGCTCCGAGGACTTGAAGAATACACAAGAGGAACGAACACGCGTGGCGATGGTGTCTCGCTCCCCTGACCAGTTGGTTGGGTCACAAAAGCCATTGCCGATCCTCATCCCTCATCCTCTGCCGACGTTGACGACTTTCTCCATGCTGTTGTTGGTTGCCGCTATTCGCACCCTATGGCCTCGCGCGCCGCATGCAGCGTCTGCTCCCATGCCAACTCCCTGTTCCAGCCACCACCGCGACAAAAACTACAGCGAGAAACAAAGAGAGGAGAAGGAGAGAAATAAAGAGATGAAGAGAGAGATAGGTGAAGAGGACCTAACATGTGGGGCCCATGCTGAAAAGCATGGTTGACTCAGTCAAATTACCACATCAGACAAAATTACCCGCTACACTGCCCTGTGACATATGTTGCACCGGTTTTGGCAGCTAAGGAATCGTTGTATCTGCTATTTCGGTTTAAGGACGAAAATCAAACTTGCTGTCAAGTTAAGAGACCTAAAATAAACTTATTCATTGTGTGCGCGTGCGCCTGGCCCATCACCCTGCCCGTACCAACAAAGGGCCATCAGCCTCGATCCCCCGGCTCCTGCGTCGTAGGCTCGTAACCATATCTCCGCAAACCCCCCGGACAGTACACCCGCCGGCCGATACCTCCGGGAATTTTTTTCATTTTTAAAATTTTCTTTTAAAATATTTAATTAAATAATCTATCGTTGGAAAAATTTACAAAAATAGACCCTGCCGCCCTAGTGGAGGGCGGCAAGCTGATGTGGCAGACGGCAACTCGACGGGCGGTGACGGCCGATTGAAAAAGTTGAATTTTTTGCATTAACACCCTTGCCGCCCACTGCCAGGGCGGCAAGGGGCCTCCATGCAAAAAAGACAACCCGGGAAGGGCCATATCAACAGAGCTGGAAAGAAGCATTTGATTTGGTTTTTTTTGCATCTAGGTCCTTTGCCGATGAAAAAAACCAGCCAAATGCTTCTTTCCAGCTGGGCAAAATGCATTACGCCTGTAAGGACGGCAAGGACCAAAGCGCAAAATGCACAAGTGACGCCGTCGAGCCGTCGTCTGCCACGTCAGCTTGCCGCTCTCCACTAGAGCGGCAGGGTCTACTTTTTAAAATTTTTGCGACAATAGATTATTTCTGTAAATATTTTAAAAAAAATTAAAAATGAAAAAATTCATACCTCCGGTGGGTCCGCAAGGTCGTCGCGGCGAGGCAGGAGGGCTGGAGGCGGCCGTGTCGTGTAATCCCGTCATACGCATAACGCACCTACGCATCGATCTTCCAGTTTTGCTACTCGGCCAAACCCTTTACCCGTGCCGTTGTTTCGAAAAACCTGCATCCAACGACGGCATGATGTACTTTGCTACTTATCTGTTTTGAAAAAGCTCACACGCACAAGTGTTTGGGTCCAAAAGAAAGTGCATATACACAAAGCATGCCATGCTTTCTACTTATTTGTTTTGATTAAATAGGGGAAAGGTCCGCCCTCATTTTATAAGTGGATAGATTTTTTTCACGTGTGGATCAAATTTAACCTTAAATTTTATATGAAAAATTATAAAATCCACCTCATAAGTCAGTTAAAATTTGACATTTCACTTGATAAATCATTTTATTCGAAATGCTCAATCTTTAGTCGGTTTTAATATAAAAATTAAACCACCCTAATACATATGAGCTTAACCGAATCAGCATGTTATCACTAATGTAGAGCCACCCAAGCTAAGCTAGCCGAGTCATCCTTGTCCAAATGCTTGTATTAGACTTATTCTTTATTTTTTTCGTCATATAGCGAAACTCAGTGCAACAACGCTTAAGCACTCATCAAAAATTCTATTTGAGTACTCTCAAAAAAAAATATCAAGACTATACTCCTAGAAATATTTGATTTTGGTATAAACCATATTGACACCTCACAGTTTATGAAAACGTAATGATTTGGTTAAGCACATGTACATTGGGGGTGGTTTTAACAACAGAACTAAGTAGGGGGTAGGCATTCGCAGCAAACTAACTTACAAGGTAAAATGTCAAATTTCAAGTGATTTCTAAGGTGATTTTTGTAATTTTTCCTATTTTTGTAAAGAGAAATGTGTGCTGATATGTCATACGTGTGGCTAATTATTATTTTGGTGGTATGAAACACGGGTGCTGGTATGTGTGACAAATTATTCTTTTAGTGATAACCTACGTACTAGTTAATACCAAGATGTTTATGTTAACTTTATCAATCTCAAGATATATCAGTCATTCTCTCAGTTGTAAGAATAAGGTGTACATGTATGTTCGTTGCACATTTGACAAAAAAAACCCTTAGATTTGAGAGACTTTTTACATGGCTAGAACTGTATCGAGATTCAAGCATTAATAGTAACTGTATACTCTCAACCCCTTTTTCTCCCACACATTGCTTGGCAAAATGGGAAGAAGCGAGCTCACTGGTGATGCCCACCCCACCTCCAACCCTGGTCGGCGCCTAATGGCGCGAACGGCACCTGCTAGGCCCGCCCACTCGGCCTCTTCCTCTCCCTTGTTTACCTTGCCCCTATCTCCGAAGCCGGCTGCGCCGCTTGCTCGTGTCCACCGCTCACCGCCGCCGCCGGTCTTCTGCCTCGCACAGCTAAACCTTGTTGGTTGGGCCACCGGTGGAACTTAAGGAGAAGGAGAAGGAGTCAGCACAAATCTTAGCATGGACCCGGTGGCCCAAAATCAGATTTCTGACAGAAATCCCGTAAATTTTTGTTGTACTAAGGCGCGATTAAAAAAAAGAAGTGTATTTTTCCAGAACTCTTCATACGTAATTATTTAGATCGTATATATACAAAAAGATAAGCACACATGCTGTCAAGAGCTTAATAAGATCCACTCCCTTGACTAATAAAGCAATTGTCAAGGTAGAAAGCCAAAAGACATTGGAAATTTAGTATCCAGATGCCCTTAGATTTAGACTCTCGGGCCCAGTTTGCATGGAGAGAGACGATCGAGTAACAGTGGCGAGCAGATATGCCTATAAATACGGCCACCCCTGAACACCATCGAACATGCAGCAAGAAAGCCAGCAGAATATATAAGCTGTGTGTGTAACGACTAACGACTCAACACTTCGAGCTGCCGATCGATCGACCCAGCTGGTGATCAGTACCGCGCGCAATGGCGTCCTTCGCTCGATCTGCCCGTTCCCTGGCGCTCCTGCAGTTGGCGGCGCTGCTCGTCGCCTACGCGGTGATCACCAGCACCGCCGGTGATTTCTCCTTCTTCTTCGTCCTTGCTGAGTTCGCTTCCATGCACCTGATTGTGCAATACCCTGATTTTGTCTTCATTTTTTCATTTTTGCAGAGATGTTGGTGGATCCAAGCGACCCTTTCCAGCCCAATGATCCGGGTTCGGGCTGGCTCGACCGAGTTCCCCGTGCGGCTGCCGGTGTCGACCGCGTTCCTCGCGCTGCGGCCGCCGGTGTCGACCGCGTGCCGCGTGCTGCGGCTGCTACCGTCGACCGCGTTCCTCGTGCGGCTGCCGGTGTCGACCGCGTGCCCCGCGCTGCGGCTGGTACCAATCGTGTGCCCCGTGCTGCGGGCGATCACGAATAAGCGAGTCGCACAGCCGTGATGCATGGCTGATTGGCTTCTGGCCCGATCGATCGCGTTCGCCACTACTTCGCGTATACAAGTAATTAATGAAAGGAATAGCACATATGGGGTAATCAGATAGTAGTAATTAAGTAACTGGAGAGAGTCAGCGAGGAGGGGGCTTGCATGCCTGTCGCTAGTAGCAGAACTTGTGAGTTGTGATGATAAGTACGAACAAAATGGGAGGCAATGCCGGCTGGCTGCTCGGCTATAGCTGCCTTCTGATATGAGTGAGTATGTTATATTGTAATTAGCTTCAGTTTATCAGAATATAAACTTCGAGTTTCTTACGTGTTTCTCCATATTTAGCCGTGTATAGTGGATATAGAGGCCGAATTCATTTCCGTTATAAAAAGTAATGTGTTTGGCTATATATACAAGGCTACCTCCTTAGACTATGTGTTTCGCTATACATGCAAGGCTACCTTTGTTAGGCATGTTCAAAGTAGAGCCTGGTACAGACTTTCTTAGCTAGGGCTGTCAAGAAAACTCAGAAGTCACGAGTTGCTCAAGCTCGGCTCGGCTTGATAAGTATTCAAATCGACCCGAGCTTCTCTCAAAGCTCATCAGCTCGATCTAACGAGCCGGCTCGAACCATTTGACGGTGGTTCAAACTTCAAACTTTTCAATAGGCGTGTGCTTGCACATTCTTTTTCGCTGTCCATTCCAATTATTTCTCCCACACTCAAGTTTCAAAATATCACCACCAGACATCAATACTTGAGAGTTGAGACCTTAGCCTACAAACCCAACCACTTCTAAGCTTCTTTTCCATCCCTTTATGCCCAGACCTAAATCAATTTCTCTCGTCGGTCTCCTAGATCCCCAATCCTAGGCTGCTCCTCTGCCCTAGATCTAGTTGAGTCCTATATTTTTCAAGTCCTAAGTGACCTAGATAAACGTGGAGAGGCTGTGTTGCTATATTGTAAAATCAACTTCTTTATAAGAGCATGCCTAGTTCTGTTAGCAACAAAAAATAATCTTACACACAATTAACCCATTGAATCGTGCTTTTCATTTCATATCTTCTTATTTTCCCTAGTTTTAACTCTAGTTTGTCCGTCTCCACTAGTTTGCGCTATAAACCGTCCATTCTTGCCGTGAAAATGTGAATCCCTTTGTAGGTTAGGTTTGCCGTGAAAATAGTATATACTACCTCCGTTTTTTAATAGATGACGCCGTTGACTTTTTCTCACATGTTTAACCATTCGTCTTATTCAAAAAATTTACGTAATTATAATTTATTTTATTATGAGTTGTTTTATCACTCATAGTACTTTAAGTGTGATTTATATCTTATACATTTGCATAAAGTTTTTAAATAAGACGAATGGTCAAACATGTGAGAAAAAGTCAACGGCGTCATCTATTAAAAAATTGAGGGAGTATATATATCATGTCCAGTATAAACCAGACAATACATAAGTCCAGAACCATGGACCTGGGCAACATCTCAAAAATTTGTTAGCTGCACAATATCTCTTTAAGATTTCACAATGACACATCTCAAAATTTGTTAGCTACCTTTAGAATTACAGCATCATGAGTCATACATCCAAATCAATCTCAATCAATTTGCCTAAGTGCTACCGATGGCACCTTTTCCTTGATGACAAAAATCAAGATTACAGATTCAATTTGCCCAATCTCACAATGCCAACAATAACAATTCACTTCCAATTAGGACTCTGTATCATCCCAGGAGGCAGGGCAGGACCAGGCTTCCCAGCGGTAGCCCTGACGGTTGCATTTCACAATAGAGAACCACACAGCCTCAGGGGCATTTCCACAAACACCTTGCGGGCACTGGAAAATTTGAAGCATTCTCCACAAACGACACAGCCTCCTCCATGTGCCGTGCTCGGGCTGGGAGGCCGCCTGCCTGCACCAGCGCGTCGTCAGGCCCGGTGGCCGGCCGCCTCACGCGCCCCCGGTCGCAGCGGCAGGGCAGGGCGGCCTAGCGCCTCCCCGGCCGCCTCCACGCGCCCTCGGTCGCGGTGGCAGGGCAGGGCGGCCTGGCGCCTCCCTTGCCGCGGCGGGACGACAGGGCCCCGGCCAGAAAGCCGGACGCGGGCGTGGCGAGTCGATCTCCGGTCACGGCGGCGGCGAGCCTCCCAGCTGGCTCGCGGCGACGGCTGGACGCGGGCGAGGCGAGCGCGGACGCCTCGCGCGGTGCTCGCCCGGTCATCTCCCCACTCGCGGCGGTCTCCGGTCACGGCGGCGGCGGCGAGTCTCCCAGCTGGCTCGCGGTGACGGGAGGCAAACTGGCGAAGCGCGTGCGCGATGGATGGATCTGGGATGCCGTCACGCGCTGGAATGGATGGATTGGGTATTATTTTGCACCTGCAGGTGGACCCAGGCGCCCAGGCGGCATATCCGTTGGATTTGTTTATGATGGTCCAGATTTACCCAATGTCATGTTGTGACATAGCTAGGCAATGTCACCCAAACCGACTCCGTTACGTTATGCGAGGCTTCCAAGTTCACATCGAATGTGATAATGATTGTTGTTCACATCCTATATCATAATAAGTGCTATTACAGGCAGTCAGGCACTAATGTGCAAGCCTACAACTCTACAAGAGGGTGGGACCAACGATAGTGCGGTTATATAAGAGAAACTTCAGCCAAGGCTTCCCTTCTCAGACCTTATTTGAAGAAATTTAAGGTTCGGAGAAGTAACTGATTGGTCTCTAAAGAAATTTAAGCTTCTGAGATCTAAAGATGTTGGTTCCTAGTTTATTTTCTAGATTCCATAATTATTAAGAATCTAAATAATGATATGTACTGTTTGAAGGAGCTAAAGTTTCTCTTCAATTGCTAGAAACTCTTCAAACAGAGGACCTTGCTCTCTCCCCCCTGTCTGTAGACACATGCTATAGCCTATAGCCAGACGCAAAATAACACATCCGTTGTTCAATATAGAGAGTATGATATAACTATTGCAAGTTTGCAACTTCCTCCAGAGGCAGGTTCTATCAATTTTGGGTTGCTCCGTGTTCGAGAGTGGCTGTAAGCCTACAACAGTTAGCTCAACTGTTTTTGTGAATGAATAGATGGTCTGAATTCCATCGTCCATGGTTTTTTTTTTCTATAACACCAGGATAGGCTGCTAAAGGCTCGAATCGTTTATTATCCAGATGCCTTACTGGCCAGAGGCATGAATCGATCGTTATTCTGCTGGTTTGCTTTCTCCATGTTTGCACTTGCAGGAAGTTCCATGGCCTTGCCTTGTCATCTCATTTCCGGCAACAAGGAAGTATGCAGTGTGCCTGGAGGAAGAGAGCAGTATTAAGATCCTAGGACAAAATGTGTAAGCTTGCAAGAATTCAGCTGTAGCACAGACCTGAAAAAATACATCATTTTGGTTTTTGTGGCAGCGTCTATGCTGTCAGTAGTATCCACAGCTTGCTGCATATGGTGCAGCCATCGCTCTGCAGCCTGGTGGGTAACAGGGAATGGTCGATGCCGTGCTATCAGGGCAGGATGTCCTACAAAGAAAAATCAAATAGGCAGATTTTAGGTCAACAAGTTATTCAGGCGGTTGTATTTGATACATGTGCTGATGTGCACAGTGACAGAGTGATCTAGCTGCTATTGGTTCGTAACAGAGGAAAATCAGAGAACACATCCAAAATTTACTCAAGGGCAAGTTACGCGAAACACTAAGTACAAGCACATATTATTGGGCATCATCACACAATTCTTGCGCCAATATAGATCAACTGGCAGATTGGTGATAAATCAGCAGAGCCAATTGAAGAGTGAACATCTCACTAAACCATTATGAGCTCCCAGCTAGATGTTGTTGAATGCTGAATTGCTGATCATATGGATGTGGTAAAAGAATGAGATCAGAAGAAAATTCACTGGTGATCACTGATCAGTGCTGGTATACAATTGGATTACAGAACAATGAAGATCTTTATACAGGGTCTGCTCTCTTGCTCAAAAAAAAAAATCACTGTACTGAATCTGAGATTCACCTCCGGCAACGGCAAGTACTATGAAAAAGCAATGATACTAAAGTAAAAGGAGAACAAGAAATGTAAATCATAGTGAGCTAAATTCTACCAACTGTACCCAAGAAAATATGTTGCGGAATTGTTGCGGAACTTGGCTATTAGCTTGTAACTAGTGGAATTGTTGCGGAACTTGGCTATTAGCTTGTAACTAAATCTGGGTTAACTTTTCTCAACAAGTAAAACGATAATTTTCCTCATATCTCAACTCTTTCCTCCACAGCCAACGACTAGCTGATGCACCCAACCATCAGTCCCTCTTGAGAGTTGAGACATCCGAGCATCGCCACCACATGTGCAAAAGTACGAGCTGAGCTTTCGAGTGGGAGAGAGAAGCAGAGTGAAATCAAGTTAGTTACCTCTCCTCTGGGAGAAGAGCTGCGGGCCGCCCATGCGCTGCACCAAGAACTCGTACTGGTTCCGGATCGCGTCCTCCTTCTTCGACCCCGCGAAGATCTGCCGGAACCACTCCTCCTCGTCCTCATAAACCCTGTTGACTCCCCCAAGAATCAGAGCCCCCGAAATCGCGAGCAAGAAGAACGAACCAGATCGGCGGCGAGCGAGCGAAAGCAAGCGAGACCTGGTGTAGAAGTTGGTGGAGAGGTCGACGAACGGCTGCGTGGTGCCGCCCAGCGCCTCGAAGACGTTCCCATCGTCGATGGCGAACGCATCCCCCGCCGCCACGCCGCTCCACTCCGACGCCTTGTCCTGCAGCGACTGCATCGCCGCCGCCGCCGCTCCGATCCCCCCAACCAAACGCTTGGCTGCCGTGAGGTTGACTCGTGCGGTCGCGGTGGTGGTGGCCTACAGTAGGAGAGAGAGAGAGAGAGAGCGCACACGCCACTCACTTCACCGCCTTTTATACCCGCCGGCCAATCGTGAGGCGGGCATGCGAGGGTGCGGGCCCCGCAGTGGAGTGGGGCCCATCTGTCGGCAAGTGGGGGTGCCCAGGTCATATATGTCGACACGATTTTGCCATGGGTGACGGCATCTGCCGGCGAGTGGTGGTGGTGCCCACGGAATCCGGGCTGAAACCGTTTAGCAAGAGTAGCACGCGGTTTCGCGACTTGGGTTGCATACTTGCATCAGCCACTTCTTTTTTTTTTCTCTTTTTTTTTTAAGAAAAAAGCATTGCGCCCAGCTTTACTGGAAGAAGATTGTTTTTTTTTTTTTTACTGGAAGAGGATATGGCGTGGATAGTCGAACTGGTGAAATTGGAGGAACTACGGATTATTGAGCTGTACTCCATCCATCAAAAAAGAAATTGACGTAACCAAGTAGAAAGAACAGGGTACACCATATCCTATCATACGTTTGAGAGGAGAAAAAGAAAAGATATGCAAAACTAGCATATGATTAATGGAGTATTAATCTCTACTATTATAAAAGTTGAAAATGTTTTCGCTGATATTTTGATACGTTGTTCGTATTTGAGTCAGTTTTTAAGTTTGTTCACCTTTTGAAAATACGTAAGAAGTCATATAAGAAATCTTTTTAAAAAACTTTCATGTTAATTTGGGACGAGAGTCGGACTCCTATTTCCTTTAGAATTCTTGCCAAATCATAAGAAAACAATGTATAGGATATGGCCATCATCCCCATAAAAAATTCAAATTAGATATCAATACTATCAAAATAAAAATCCAATATACTATTTTTTACATTAAAAAACTAATAATAATATGATTGAAATAGCCTTTACCTATTGCAACTAGGGGTGGACGAAAAGCTCATGACTCGTTAGCTTGCTCGACTCGTGACAAGCTCGGCTTGACTTGGTTCGGCTCATTTTATTTTTCTAACGAGCCGAGCTAGCCTTTCAGCTCATTAGAGATAACGAGACGCTGAGATAACGAGACGCTCGCGAGCCGTAACGAGCTTTTGTAACCAGCAGCAGCAGGCACCCTACAAAGCCCACAAGCCCAGTAGGCCCATCAGATTAGAGCAAACCCTAATACTGATGATGTCTCTCGAGTCTTTGATCTATTCTCTCCTCACTCCATCGCTCCGCCGCCACAAACATCGCGTTCGCGTCGCGTTTCGCGTGGGATGCTCCAGCCGCTCGCGCCGCTCTCCCCAGCGCTCGAGTCTCGACGTCGCCGTCCGCCCGCAACGCCCGACGGAACCAGCGCTCGACGTCGCCGCCCGCCTGCAGCGCCCGACGGCCTCAGCGCTCGACGTCGCCGCCCGCCCGCTGCGCCCGACGCCGCCGCTCGCCCCCAGCATTCCTCCTCACGGTCCAAGTGCCGGCGGAGGTCGAGCTCGTCCCATCCACCGTCGAGCTTCTTCCCGTGGTCGCCGACGATCTCGAGCTCGTTTCCTTCACCGTCAAGCTCCTCCCCATGGTTGCAGTGCCGGCGAGGTCGAGCTCGTCCAATCCACTGTTGAGCTCCTCTCGTGGTCACCAGCAAGCTCATCCCTGTGGTCGCCGGCAAGCTCTCCCCGTGGTCACGGCGCCGGTGAGGTTGAGCTTCTCCCTGAGGTCACCGGCTAATTTCTCTATTGTCCCCAAAGCTCGCGAGCTAAACGAGCTAGCTCGAGCTTGCAGACGAGCCGAGCCAAGCTAGGTTTCTAGCTCGTTAGGATAACGAGACCGAGCCGAGCCAGCTCGACATCCACCCCTAATTGCAACGCACGGACATGTTTATAGTTATTTTAAATTTTAAAAGTAGATTACTGTAATTTTTAAAACAATTTTTATGTAGATTTTCTTAAAAAAATCCTCGTTCAGTAGTTTAGGATGTGTTTGTGCGAAAAAAGAGTGACTTTTCAGCTCTTTGCCCATCTGTAGAACGCATCTAAGTGTGATGAGGGGATAAGTATACTACAAATAACATTATCTTACATTGTAATAGACCAGTCTCATGCAAGTAGGGATAAACTATAAATGTGATTAGAAAATAAAACATTGAATATATATGGTGGCTATGTATATAGGGATTAGCTCTACATTTGTTGTCAAATTTTAACTAAAAAATTTGACAGATGTAATTATAGTATAATCGTGATGTAATTACAGTGTGACTTACATATAACTATAGTCTATAGTTTAACTTATACGTAACTTTTAAAAATCCTTAGGCGACATGAAAATTCAGTGAAAACGGAGGTAATTGTACCGAATCACCTCACATATGCGTGGGTTGTGATTTTTTCCTACCTCCATTGCACAAATTTTAAAGCAAATCGAACGGTTTAAAACTAATTTGTAGTTACAACAAGTTACAATATAATTACACTATGATTATGCTATATTTACATTATCAAGTTTTTAGAAAAAAATATTATCAACAAATATATAGCAAAATCGTTATACCTATGTTATACTCCCTCCATCCCAATAAAAATTAACATAGCAATGGATGTAACACATCCAAATATTATGAATCTGAACAGATGTATGTACTAGATTCGTTTATTTTCGAATGGAGGGAGTACATGTGTAGGTGTGCTGCACGTGGTGTGAGGAGGTTGGAAGCATGGGTGAAAACGGTCAGAATCAATGGCTTCTCTTCGGAAACGACGCTTGATCGGCTAATAATTGACCATATTTATTATTTAAACTACTCAGTGCCGATATTAATACAATTTAGAAAGAAATTAGAAAAAAAACAAAATTTAAAAATAGTACAGTCAGAAACGGTACCCTTTATACGAAAAATGCACTCGATCAGGAATTTCGGTGGACTTAAAAGGAGTACGACACCGCTTTTAAGCTACAGCGTACCGTAATAGAGATGAGAGAAGGGGAGGGTACCTACGAGTTTGGAAAAAGTCCACTTTGACTCCCTTAAATATAGGTAAAATCTAATTCGTACCCCTCAACTGGAAAACCGGGTAGGACGACTCCCCCAACTATTGTAACCGGTGCAATTTGACTCCCTTGGCGGTTTTGGAGAGTGGTTTTGCTGACGTGGCGCTGACGTGGCAAAATTGACCCGGTCTTCGTCCCACGTGGCATTCGAATTAAACCAATATATGTGGGACCCATCTGTCATTCACAAGAAAAAAAAATATATTGTGGGACCCACTGACATGTGGGGCCCACATGTCATCATCAATCTATCTCTTCCCTTCATCGGTTTGCAGGGGCGGGAGCTAGACAAGCGGCGGTAGGCAGGCAGGCGACTGAAAGTGCATCTAGGACCCCTCATTTATTTTGGTGTTAATGACAACACAATTAGAGGGTAACTAATGCTTTTTGTTGAGATGTATGCAAGGATGAAAAAGGAGTGGATGTCAACACAATAAGTATTGCGGCATCTTTTGTGGTAATTGTCTTCTAATCCATGTATATCTTGTGTTCTTGAGTATTAGGATGCCGTACTATTAAGAGGGATGCCACATGCATATAATTGGTAGAACACTAGTGCTCAAAATCATTTATTTGAAGTGTTCCTGTTTTATGTCTGTCGGACTATCGGATGTTGATCAGACTATCCGATGCTCAGACTATCCGAAATTTCACAGAACTTTGCTCACTGTCTTCGGTCTGAGTGTTGGCTAAAAAATATCGGACTATCCGATATAAGGTCGGACTATCCGATACGTCGGACTATCTGAAATTTCTCAGAACTTCATTCTCTATTTTGAATTGCTTTTTATTCCTTTTGAGTGAGTTTTAAATCAGACTATCCGATGTGATCGGAGTATCCGATGATCCAGAGACTCCGAAATTCAATGGAACTTGAGTCTCTGTGAGAGGATGAAATTCTTGGTTCAAAAATAACGGAATATCCGATATGACATCGGACTTTCCGATCGATCGGATTGTCCGAAATCCTCCAGAATTTCGTTCTCTGTCTCTGGCCTGCTTGGGGGTCAAAAACATCGGACTATCCGATGTCACCTCGGACTTTCCGAGGTGGGATGAAAAGATTCTCTCCCAACGGCCACATTTTAGGGGCTTCTATAAATACCCCCCACCTAACCCTTTTCTAGGGTTACCCAACTCATTCATTCACATTCACTTTGGGTTGAGCTTGGTGCTAAAGTGTTTTGGATCTTTGAGCTCTCTCTCCCTCTCTCAAATCCCTCTTTGTTCTTTGTGTAGTGGATCTTGGTGGTTGTGGATTTGGTGTTTGAGGGCCTAGTGTGTGTTTCACTCGATCTTGAGCACTAGGGTTTGACCAAGAGTTGTGTGGTGTTTGTTACTCTTGGAGGTTGAGGACTCCTAGACGGCTAGGTGTCACTCCCGAGCCACCGATCTACGTGTGGTTGGCCGGGAGAAGTTTGTGAAGGCCGGATCTCGCCTCCACAAGGAAAGAGATACCCCTTAGTGGAAGGAGGAGTGCTTAGTGCAACCTCTTGAGGAAAGGGTTAGCAAAGACCCGGCTCTTAGTGAGCTCCTCAACGGAGAGTAGAATCCCCTTAAGGATTTGAACTCCGGGAACAACTCGGTGAACTTCATTGTTGGTGATATCTCTTCTCCTATTATTTAGCTTTGCTTTTGTGCCGCTTTAGATCTAGTCGCTGTTTGCGCCATACTCTTGTTTGTGCACTAGATCTACTTGTAGTGTTCCTTTAGTGGATCAGACAGTCTGATCCAACATCAGACTATTTGATATTTTCGGATAGTCTGACTGTGGATCAGACTTTCCGACCCTAACTCAGTTTTAGCTTCCGCATAAAGTTTTAAATTAGCCTATTCACCCCCCTCTAGGCCTAATTGACCCTTTCAATTGGTATCAGAGCCTAATCTCCTAATTAGGCTTAACCACTTGGAGAGATCATGTCGGGCCAAACGGGGGAAGGCAAAGATGGTGATAAGGGAGTTATGTTTCCTTATGACTATCCAACTACATCTACATTTTATGTGAGTACCTATAGCGGCAAAGCTCCGTATTTCAATGGTACGGACTATGCCGCTTGGAAGCATAAGATGAAGATGCATTTGAAGTTTATTAACCCATCTATTTGGAGAATAGTCAAAAAAGGCTATGTTTTGCAGAATCCCGAAGATCCCACCAAGGAGGACGATGAGAACGAGCACAAGAACGCTCAAGCCGCCAATGCAATACTTAGTGCCTTGAGTGGAAGTGAGTTCAACCGTGTGGATGGCATTGAGAGTGCCAAAGTGATTTGGGACACGCTTCGGAACTTGCATGAAGGCACGGATAGTGTTCGTGAGTCCAAGGTGGAGATCCTCAAGGGGCAATTTGAGAGATTTGTGATGTTGGATGGTGAGAGCCGAAGTGACATGTATGACCGGTTGAGCAAGATCGTCAATGAGATCAAGGGACTTGGCTCCAAGGACATGACCGATGAGGTTGTGGTCAAGAAGATGGTTCGAGCCATCACTTCAAGGAACTCTACCTTGGTTACCATCATTCGTGAGCGTCCGGACTACAAGACTCTCACACCTCATGATTTGCTCGGACGCATTCTTGCCCGTGACATGCTTGTGCAAGAGTCCAAGGAGGTCATCCAATACATCAACCAAGGCTCAATGACAAGCATCAAGAAGGAAGACTTGGCATTGAAGGCAAAGGAAGAAGAAGAAGAGAGCCGCAAGAGCAAGAGCAAGGAGGAGATCGATGATGAAGATAAAAGCTTATCCTAGAACAGATTAGTTAACTTATTCATGATTATAGCCTCTGACAAGCCAAAAGCCCCTAAATCCCCTTGCATATTGTGGACTCTTAATTCAGGGCAGGGTGGATTGTTGCAGATGTGAGATTGCAGGGGTGTATAGGCTGAACTTAAACAATCCGGTCATTGCACTTTTAGAATAAGACTAAGCTCCCTTTGACGGTCAACAATCCATAAAACCAAAAAGTTGGCTTATGGCATAATAAGCCTAAGCTAGAGCTACACAAAATCAATCCATACAGAACAGAGAACATGATAACCAAACTTCAAAAAGGGGTACAAAGGAATTGAACAATTATTTATTCGGTGCAAAAATATTAATTGCACAACTATTACAGCTTGCCCTAAATAAATGAACAAAATAACTTAAGATGTATGATGACATAGTATACCTCAACCAATCACAACACGTGACATGCTTCTCCCTAAACAAACCAGCAAAAAACCCAAACTTCAAATATATTTAAAGTCACAACTTGTAAAGTGCCACATACAAAATGCAAAATGTTGCTAAACTAAAGCCATGCAAAATACAAGAGGAAGCTCATATTAGGATTAGTTATGCACTAAATGTAATTGTTCGTTAACCGAGTTGTTCTGGCTGAGTGGGGGCATATTATTAGTTCTCCTTTCTACATTTGTCCTCGAATTGTTTTGTTTTGCTTGAATTCGGAAAAACCTAGCTTTGTGCACGTCATTGCTAATACAGTGGGAAATTGACTTTAGCTTATGTTTACTAACTATTTTGAGAATGCAGCACCATATATTGTCAAATTACTTGGAACTCAATTATCTAAAGAGCATTTCCAGTAGAACAAAACTAAAAGGAAAACGTGTTGCTACCTTGTTTACTAAGATTAAGCATCCAAGCTAAAAAAAAAAACTAATAGCCTAATAGGTATAATCATATCAAGAAACTGTCATGAGGATTGCGAACTGCTTACTCTAGAATGATATGGAGGTGACTCCTTGTCTTCAATGATCCAAGATACTTCACAATATTTTTGTGATTCAGATTCTGCGTAAAGTGGCAGAACTTAGAATTCGCAGCAATACAATTTTCTTGCGAACGTATATACATTTCAGATATCAAGAACCATTTAATTTCAAGTACAATAGATTATAGATGTGACCACTAACCACAGAAGAAGGAACGGTATCATTTTTCATTAAATTTTGGGCATCAGGGCATCCATAGGAACATGTAGCTAAACATTTAAATAGAAGCTTGTTGGGTGTATAAAAATAAGTATACATTGATGGAACTCCAAAATTTTCTTCATAAATTTGTTCATGTAAGGCTATAGCTATAGAAGCATAATGATAATAGCAACACTTACATCCAAAGATAAAGGGGAACAGATGCAACAAAAACAAGGATAGGCACACCTGGAGATGCCTCCTTTGATGATTTATTCCCACCTAAGAAGCGAGGAGATCATGGGGCTGAAGCTTCAACATCCACTACTGGTGAAGAGCTTCAATACAATGGTGCACAAAATGATCTCGCGAAGGAACTCAAGACTAGGATGGCTCAGAAGCAGAAGGAAAATGATACTGAGCACATGAATGGTGGAAAACTTCTTGAATATGTCATGCGTTTGAGGGAAGAAGATATTGATGGAACGGTATTGCTTTCACTAATATAGTAATAGTACTATGTATTTTATTTTGCCTGTACCTTTGAGAATATAAAATAAGTGACACAACTCTGATGATTTCAGGCATTTGATGAGACTATTCCTGGAGAGAGTCTTTTTCCTTTGCAGGTATGCGATGCCCTAAAGCTCTGATGTTTCTGTGACTGATGTGTACCTTTATCATAATGTAGCAATGCTCTTGCTTAACCTTTTCTTTTTAAGTTTGAGTATGTATTTGTCTTATATATGGATCAAGTGTCCAGCTACGCAACCAAGAAGTGACATTTGCCATGGACTTTGGCAGCACTCATTTGCCTTCTCATGTATTCAAATATTGCATTAGGTGTCATTTCATGTGCATGCTAGCACCAAGGTCCAGCAGAAGCACCCAGAGTACTGCAGAAGTTTTAGAATCCAACTGCATCTGCTGGCAAACTGTCTACGTAGGAGGATAGATTGTGCTAGTTAACACTTTATTCATCTTTTTTGAAAGCAGGTTTTCTGTGCCTAAAATGTATGGAAAGGTTTTTTGTATTTTCTTATTTATGTGCATCCCTCGCTGTGACTACTATTCTTGTCTACAAACCTACGGTGGATAAACCTCTATGGTGCATATCTGTTTCGCCTAACTTGTCTTAGTCATTCCCACATTGAATCGAAACTCTCAATGCCCCAAGAAGTTCGGCAAGTTCATGAGGCGAAGCGGCTTCTTCAAGGGAAATTCTTCCAAGCATCACTCCAACAAGTCAAGTGGAAGACATTCCGCAAGAGTGTGCTATGTGTGCAAAGAGCCCGGGCATTTCATTGCGGATTGCCCTCACCTCAAGGATGGTTCCCACATCAAGGAAGATAAGAAGGGTGAGAAGAAGGATGAGAAGAAGGAGAAGTATAAGCATAACAAGCGGGAACATTATTGCCAAGCTCACCTTGGGATGATCTTCGGCTCCGACTCCGAGTCAAGCTCAAGTGATGAAGAAGGAGTCGCCACGTTCGCCGTCAAGCCTTCATCACCGCTGAGACTCTTCGACTACTCAAGTGATGAGGATGCTCCCATTTGCCTCATGGCAAAGGAGCCTAAGGTACCTTCTCCTCTCAAATCATTTAATGTTGATCTTGTTAGTGATGAGGAGGATGAGGTTATGGATGACGAATTGTCCAAGTCCATAACTAAGGAATCACTACCACACTTGAGTGAGTTGCTAGGGAGAATTGAGGACCAATATGCAACTCTTGAGAGGCAAGAGGATTTGCTCATTCGTGAGAAAGAGCGATCTCATGAACTCAAGAGTGAGCTTGCCAAGGAGAGAGAAAAATGAGGCTTTGGTACGGCTCTACAAGCAAACCAAAGAGTCTCATGCTAATCTTGAAGTGGCGAACGCTCAACTTCAAGAGAGAGTGGATGGCTTGGACAAAGCATACCTCTCTCTTGAAGAGAAGTTCGAAACCTTAAAGAATAGTGTCTCTCTCCCTAGCGAGCCGTCTTGTTCCAAAATTGTCCCAAGCAATGAATCATGTGTGAGATGCAAAGATATTGTTATTGAAGCTTGTGCTACTAACTCTATTTCTTTGAGTGCTTTGCAAAAGCAAAATGAGAAGTTTATGGGACTCCTTCACAATGGCCTACTTAAGTGCCATATGGGTAGTAAGGCTCTAAAAGAGTACCTAGCCTATCAAAGGGACAACTTCAACCATGAGGGTCTTGGGTATGTTCCTCCACCAAAAGGAAAGGTGGACAAGAGTGTGATGATCAAGAGACCCCAAGGTCTTAGCAATTTTGTTAAGGCCAAAAGTATCCTTCCTAATGATTATGCTTCACATTGTTCTTTTGATGCATCTTATGTTCTTAAGAAGAATGTTAGTGGTCGTGTTGTTGCTAAGTATGTAGGCCCGAGGGGCAAAAATGTTTCCATCAAGAGAGTTCTTTGGGTGCCGAAGGCACTTGTCACTAACTTGAGAGGACCCAAGCAAGTGTGGGTACCTAAAACTAGAAATTGATCTCTTGTAGGAATATCTCTCCGGTGGAAGAAGTTGGGTGATTGATAGTGGATGCACAAATCACATGACCGGAGAAGAATCAATGTTTTGCTCCCTTGATCCAAATGGCACTTCGCAAGAGAACATAGTCTTTGGGGACGATGGAAAGGGAAAAGTAATGGGATTGGGTAAGATTGCAATCTCCAATGATCTTTCCATTTCTAACGTTCTCTTGGTAAAATCTCTAAACTATAATCTCTTGTCCGTTTCTCAATTATGTTCCATGGGCTACAATTGTCTTTTTACCGATGTTGATGTGACCGTATTTAGAAGGGATGACTCCTCGATAGTCTTTAAGGGTGTTCTCAAGGGCAAGCTTTATCTTGTGGATTTTTCCTCAACTAAAGCCAAACATGAGACATGCTTAGTGGCTAAGTCCGACATGGGGTGGCTTTGGCATCGGAGGCTAGCCCATATTGGTATGAGGAATCTTCACTAGCTTCTAAAGCACGATCATATACTTGGTCTAACAAATGTACCTTTTGAGAAAGATAGGGTGTGTAGCGCGTGTTAAGCCGGGAAACAAATTGGAGCTCATCACCCGGTCAAGAACGTAATGACAACTACAAGACCGTTGGAACTTCTACACATGGACCTCTCTGGGCCTGACGGAGCGTGGGGCCCCTCACCGGGAGACCGCGTAGGCCCCCCTTTGCCGGTTCGGCCGGGGGCGCTATGTGAGGTTCTTCGCCCTCGATCTGAGGAATGTCAGCGAGAAGGATCGCACAAGACGCGGGCGACGTAGACAGGTTCGGGCCGCTGAGAAGCGTAATACCCTACTCCTGTGTTCTGGTGGATCTGTATGTGAAGGAATACAGAGAGCTCGAGAGCCAGAGAGAGTTCAGGCTCCTCCTCAAAAATCCCCCAAGAAAATCCCCCTTCTTCTAGGCCTGGGCCTCCTTTTTATCTGGTCAGGGGTCACCACAGGGGCCTCTAGCTGCCTAAGAAAGGAAACATGCTTTTTACAATGAGGGCTAGTCTACAGCCGGAAGTGACCCTTGACAAGCAGTGCGCACGTCTCCTGCCCCGCTCGTCAGCTTTTCCGGAGGACGCCCATTTCAAACTTCATTTAATGGCCGGCGACTTCCTTGCCATTCTTGCGCTGAAGTCTGGAATGAATCTGACCGGGACTGACATACCAACTCCAGGAGTTAGCACGCCGGCTCCGGCTAGGGACGAGAGCCAGGAAGCTCTCATCATTCCGACGGGACGGGGCGAGGCGTGTGACAGGCCGCCTGTTGCCACCTAACCCGCGATCTGACCGGTCTGTGACCGGTCACACACCGCGACTGGTCACGGACTGGATAAGCATGCGCTGCGCCGCATTGAATGCAGCGTGGCGCGCTCGTCTAACCCGCTATAAATGCGGTTAGGTGAGCGCCTGCTGTGCTCACCTAACCCACACACATGGTGCCAAAACCACAGGGGGTCGGGGCGCCCCAGCCCTCGGGGCCGAAACGGGTGCGGCCCGACCCCTCGGGGAGACAGAGGGAGGGGTGGCCGCGTCACCCTCGGGCCCGAACCCCCCCCCCCCCCGAGGGGGTCAGGCCACGTGGGCGACCGCGGTTACCCAAGCCTCTAGTCACGATACCCCCGGTCCCATGTCACCGACAGTAGCCCCCGGCGTTACGCCAGGGCGATCGCCCCCCTCGAGGGAAGCGCTCGGGCGTGACGCCACTCCTTAGGCCTGGTGACAGGTGGGGCCGGTCTCTACAGGCGGGCAGAAACCCAGCGGTCGTAAATCGCGCGCATCGGCAAGGGAAAACCGATCGACAATAATGAGCGGTCTCTTCAAGACCGCTGCATTACTCGAGCAGCGCGCGAATCGGGACAAGCCGGTTCGTTTCGCCTGGAGACATGATGATGGCGCTCTTCTCGGTTGGCGAACGCAGTTAATGCGCGCACGATCTGCCCCATCTCAACCGTCACGGCCGCACATCTGCCGCGTGCGCCGCAAACGGGCGAGTGGGGTTAGTGGAGGCGTGGGCGCGAGAAACGAGGGGGCAAGGTAGTGGGCACGGGAAGCGAGGAGCCGGACATAGCGCTGGCAAGGGAATAAAGACGCCGAGGAAGGGATTCGTTTCCTTCCTCTCGCCACTATTCCCCTTGCCTTCGCCACTTGCGCTCTAACTCTTCGTTTCCTGTGCCCTACCCTCGCCGCACTTGCTCGCTCTCAAGCTCCTCCTCCGCCGGCGTCATGGCACGGGGCTCCGCACCGCTTGATGGTAGCGTGCTGCCGCCTTCCCGCATCGTGAGCGAGAGGCAGGCCGGGCTGCCGCGCCGATTCATGCCGGAATCTGCCACCGGCCGGGAGGTGGTCGAGCTGGGCGAGGGATGCCTGGCGCCACACTACCCGGGGCGGTCCGTCTTCTTCCTCTCTTTCGCAATGGCCGGGCTGGTCCCGCCATTCTCTAATTTCTTCATGGATGTTCTGGAGTTTTATGATCTCCAGATGGCGCACCTCACCCCCAACGCAATAATGACGCTGGCCATCTTCGCGCACCTGTGCGAGATGTTCATCGGGGTGCGCCCATCTCTCCGGCTGTTCCGGTGGTTCTTCACTGTACAGCCGGTGTCGCCGCCGACGGTGGTCGGTGGCTGCTACTTCCAGCCGCGGGGGCAGGTGCTGCACCGCTACATTCCCTGCGTCCTCCGCAAGAAGTGGGACGACTGGAAGAGCAATTGGTTCTACACCCCCCTCGCCGACGAAGCGCGCCTCCGACTTCCGAGCCAGCCCCCGGCGCAGGCCTCCAGCTGGCGGGCGACGGTAGATCTGGGAGACAGCTACGACGCCGTTCTTGACCGCCTGGCGGGTCTGTGATCCCAAGGGCTTACGGGGGCCATGGTTTTCGGCGACTACCTTCGTCGCCGGATCGCGCCGCTCCAGCGGCGCGCCCGGGGTGCCTGGGAGTACACCGGGCCCGAGGACTTCATGAGGACCCACCAGGGGCGCAAATGGGACTGGGTCCCTGAGGACTTCAGGATGGTGGTCCAACGGGTGCTGAATCTCAGCTCCGTGGAGGCATCCCTTATCCCCCAAGGTGTCCTCCCCCTCTGCAGCGATCCGGATCGCGCCAACATCCTGACCATCATGCAGGCAGTCGGGGCGTCGGGGGAGCGGGTCCCCCGAGGCCACGATGGCGCGGGCGGGAGCCGTAGAGGGAAACAATCTACCCCGGGAGGGGGTCACGCTTCTGGGCCCCGCGACGGGGGCCCGGGGGGCAGCCGCCCTGCCGACGCCCGGGGAAAGAGGAAGCAGGAGGGCACGCCCCCCCCATCTCCTCCCCAAGGGGGCGGGGCGGTGCGTGCCAGCAGCAGGCGCCCGGAGGGTGCTGTGCCGACGCCGCAGCCCGAGGGGGAGCGAAAGAAGAAACGGCTCCGCAAGATGGGGGGGACCGAGCCATGCCGGGGGAACCTCATCTCGCCCCCGAGGTGGTCGTTTAGCCGACCTCCCCGCAGGTTTGTCCCCGCGCCCATCGCGACCGCATTCATTCTCCCATCTCCCAAGGCGAGTTTTCACTCACCCGTTTCTTTCCGTCTTCTGGTTTTTCTTCT